ATTTAAATATAATGTGAACCATTTCCTAGTTTATAAATTAGTTTAATATTTGTAACATTATGTCGACGCGTTGGAATAATTTACAAAAATACGATTATTACAAATTAGCATATCTTTATTAAACAACGTTTTTAATGACAGATGAATGTGTTTTCATATCATCAACTAAATAACTAACATTAATTAAACAACTTTAAAACAAAATCTGCTATTCATTTTTTGACAGAGAATATATGACACAATTCCCGTTTCCGACATACAATTTAGCTCACAGCTACGAAATAGAAAAAACGATTTCCGGTGGCACTTACTGAAATAGAGATGTCTCTTTTTCGCGCTCTCAACAGATAGTTATCAGAGCAAGACGAATCGTGTTCTCAGTTTCCGCTATAACAGCGACACTGGCACTTTAATTTACTCGTAAAACGGCTAGACAGCTAAATGCGATACTATTTCTTCCTATCTCATAAAGAAACGTAATAGCTCTTTGAAATGTTTTCCATTTTAGTTCCGTTTTTTTTATTATCAATAGCTATCTCGTAAATCTAATCTCAATGCAATCACAGATATGAAGTTTGTTAACCTCCAATAATTGCAATTATGTAAAAAATTGAAAACTTGCATGAATAGTTACCGAAAGTTTATTGCCGGAAAATCTTTGATAGCTTGGTGTTTTTCTTAGGCACTGATATATTTTGTGGATTTAATTACAGACAATGTAAATGTCGGTTCTATAGTTAAGAAGTGAAAACTGCTTAAATAATGTATACGACTTGTCCGATCCGAGTGAAATCAAAGTTAAACATCATCATCTTTCTCCTTATCCTACTCCCTTAGGGTCAGCGCAACAGGTTCTTGTCAAACACAACTCTTTTATACGTCATCTCAGTTATCACTTACTTCTTGATTATTGAGGTCTACCTCAAAGTCAAAGTCAAACAGTGTTACATGAATTGGAAAATGTGCAAATCAAACGACTTCGTTCAATTATTAACTCACCATGATAAGGTCTACAACACGTGTTCACAAACGAACGTTACAAACAATCGTAATTTGTTTGCTCCAAAACATTGTCCACATTTTCTTTCTCTCGCCCAACGTTTTCATTCTGAATATTATTCATCGGCAAGATATGACTGTGCAGTTTGTGGCCAGTGTTGTTGCTACATTTACTATTATATTTTTATTGGGATGCTTTTGTATGAGTTGGCAGATATTTATCGGGTATCGGAACATTATTCGGTCCGCTCATAATCGTCCGCATAAAGCACCTTGTCACACGGTCGTTGGGCGCCGAATGCGTCGCCCCGCGCCGACCCTGCGCCTTATTCTTTTTGTACTCTCTGAACCGAGGGGCCGTATTCTTTGAGATGTGGAAAAAATGAAGATATTAATATATCTTTCTAATTCGAAATACGTTTCGTATAAAGGGAACATCGTAAATCATTAAACACTCGGTACAAAATACCTTTTTAAATACTGTACGAATGGAAATCAGATTTCGGGGAAGTGTCAAACATATGCTTGCCATATTGCGACGTATTGACTTATCAACAAGTTGTAGTAGAAAACAAATAAGTTCATCACATAACAAGGTTAATTGCTTTTTTATTAAGACAAAGATTTTCTCGTTATTGACAGACAATTAAAAATATACTAATCAATCTATTTATTTGAACGCGTCTTAACAATAAGCGCGAGTTTAAAAACGATGTAACCTTTTTAAATTATTAAAAGAATCGATCGAGTCGTGTTCGTGCGGCGCATTATAGACACAATCAATTTTAGTTGTTAATAATTTAGTATAGAGATTAGTTTAGTGGGTCGACTATCGGCTGTGGGCTGTCGGCGTGTCGGGAGGTCGTGTCGGCCGAGTGGTCGATCGCGCCGGTGATCGGCCAGTCATCGGCCGCTCATTAACCGCCTGTCTGTCCGGGATTGAATTAACTCCGACGCGCTCTATTCCGCGCCGGCTATTAAGCGATTAAAACAATGCAATAACATTTATGTGAGTCAATAGCCATTCTCGGGTCAATATTGTTCAATGAAATTTCTCTTGTACTTTTGATAAAGACAAGTAAATTGTAATGTTTTACGTGTCAATAATTATAAAAAGATTTACATTACAAAGTGTTGTTACGCTAAGTATAAAGAAACATGTACTTGTATGTATCGTCGCATACTACTTAAATAAAGTTTTTTGTTATCTTAGTGCGCCTTTTTCCAACAAAACTTTTTTTGTTCTTCTTAAAAAGTATTAAACTAGTTTAAATTGAATTTTCTGTAATTACCATATTCAAGCCCGGTACATATGACCCGTTCTGATTGCAACAAACCATTTTGTCTACCACAATTATCTTTTAAACCTGATACCAGCCGAAGCGATGTTTTTTCACTAAACTCACCTAATGCCATTTACACAATCTGGGTGAGAAGGCTGCGGTGTGTCGGGTTACGTACAGTCCCCGTTCGCGCCGTTTCTAAAAACTATGTTTTCACAACAGAACGCACTTAACAGTCATCAGTAACACAACACTCGGAGCAATTTGGAAGCGGCGAGAATTGCCAAACCAAACACCTTACAATGTTACTAACGACAAAGTCTACTGAAGGTATTCAATAACAAACAAAATGCTTGATTTAGTCACCTAGAATTGCAATATATAAATATATGTCGGAGTGACGAGCGGTTTGTAGAATTCTGAAGGTAGATTATAAAAGCGGTAACTTATTCTCCATTGTGGACGCGCGTATGTCGGAGATAAGGATTATACAATTAACTTTATATGTGCGCACAAGCAAATCGCATCACTCCATTCTATGACAACTATCATCTGTCATTGTTGACATTTATCAACCCATTCGTAGCTGTCCGTTCAGAAATCTCAAATTACAATACCAGTTCAAAACAATTTCATATAGGCGAACACTGAAATTTATTATTTGACAGTAACTGTAATCGTTCAAAAATTAACATAATTTCTTGCCGGTATTGTACATCATAAAGTTAAAAATTAATAACATTCAAATCGTTATTTAAATTTTTAATTGTTAATACAGGTTTGTTAAAAATAAATATTAAAATGAATAATAGAGGAATAAAACATCTAGGTACCGATGTTTCTTTTGGATACTTAACTGAGGGCGTATATCATTTTATAAAGCCGTATACAACGTATACAACGTATACAACGTGCCATATCGATTATAACGTTACAAAAAAGTGTCTCCCGTGGGTGATACAGGCGTTTAAGATAAACATCTGACCCCGGCGAGTCCCGCCGGACCCGCAACTCCCGGCCCGTACGACGCCGGCTCGCAACGAATTCACGATACGAGCATTCCCCGCAACTGTTTTTCATTACTTATTGTAATGTCAAATATTTTTACTAATGTATTGGGCGTCATGCATTTATTACAATCTGACTGTAGTGATGTTACCTTTTAAATATGACTCGTTTGAAATAATCGTATTTCAATCACACTTTTGTTGCAACAATCTAAGCAGTCATTTGTTTTGTCTAACTCTCCAACACTCCACCTAATCCTGTTGTTAGATATGCACCCTGCATACTCTGTAATTTTCTTTAACTTTTAATTACAAAATTTAAAAATTCTGCACTGTTTAAACCAAAACGGTTTGTGCGTCAAAAAACTAAAACAATACAATATTAGTTCGGAAAGCATTTCACAGTGATAAATGCTTGGCGGGCACGTGCGACAAGCGACAAGCCATCGCCATTCTAATAGCATTTGTCTCTGAGCCTTTTTTGTGACCCAGCAGAGATGAACAGCCCGATTAGTAATTAGACGGGCGACAAGTGTTTTTGACTCCTTTATCTTGTCTTAACCTCATTAGGGTTCCGGACCGAGATGTTTTTATAGTCCTGCACGAAATAAAATCACCGGTCGATCGTTTCGGTGGTTATTTAACGTTTTTAAAACCACAATTCTGTTGATAATGTCGACGTACGTGGAGCAGGTACTTCACCGCATATTTGCACATCGAGCTTCGATTACAATACATTGTGTCCGCAAATATTTAGTGGCGAATGTCATAATGCAAGAAAGGAAGTATCACAATTCAAAATAAGCCGTCGAATGTGCGATGCGTTCATTCATCGATCGACAAAGTAACAAAAATCCGCGGTAAGGGAACTCCTAAAGAGCCCTATTATTGCCGCGTTAACGGACACTTGAGATTAGCATCTGTGCCTCCTCAACGCGATCTTCGAGCACCAAACACAATGAGGGGGATTACAACCGAAGAGGTTTATTTGTAAACATGACAAAGAAAAGTGTTTTGTTGTGTACCCGACCTCGCCGCGCCGCCGGAACGCCTGCTTACTTCTAATATATTTTATTCAATGTTATTCATATAAAGTACGTTTCGGTGAGCTCCTGATGATAATACTCACAATGCGTGAGAAGCTGTCTTGAATAGAATAAAGCCATATCGAAATATACACCATTACATGAACTAATAAAGTTGCATGGCTTGATATCTGTAGGTAAATAAATGATAATGTACACCTAAGTGTAAAATGCAGCGACTTTAGTTCACTACAACTTGTACCACAGATAATTTTCGTAATATTGCTATTGTCTACGTAATATATTAGCAAATGAGAATTAACATCAGCAATACTACTGATGAACATTTACTATTACGAAGGTTTCATTGCAAAAAATGTTTATCGTTCCGCGTAAGATACCGTTGATCTCCTAATAGAAAAGCAACAAAACACAAAGAAATATTTGGCCAAATGTTATCCTGTTAATTGTTCGCCTCAATGTTTGTCATCATAATGCTTTACTGATGTTAAATTTATATCAAAACGTCAAAACTCAATATGGTGACGAGCGTAAACATTCCCTTGGCGTCGGTGTTAAGGCACAATATACACTACTTGTGGCTACAAAAGCTGGGCTTTGTTATAGCGATGTGACAAAGTCGTCTTATAAAGATGATTTATGAGCTTGTTAAGTAACCCGTGCAATTGTTGAGAATATTTATTTATGCTCGTAACTATAAACAACGGGCAAATCTGATTATTTATTGTGTGATTGGACATCTGCATTCGGAGCTCACTACTCTTTTTGATTTCATGAAAGAAACGAATTATCGAGTTATTAGTTACAAGTTCAGGTAACCAAACTTAGTAGTTTACAAAACGAAGCGATTTAACATAATGTTTATTTTTGCAGGCGAGAAGCCGTTCAAATGTGAGTATGCGGGCTGTGACAGGCGCTTCGCCAACTCGTCGGATAGAAAGAAGCACTCGCACGTGCACACGTCCGACAAGCCATACAATTGCCGCGTGCACGGCTGCGACAAGTCCTACACACATCCCTCCAGCCTCCGAAAGCACATGAAGGTGCATGGCGCCGCTGGGGACGCCTCGCCGCGCTATGACAGCGATGGCGATGACTCGTCCTCCGCCGCCAGCGTCAGCGTCACCGCGGGCGCTGCTAGTCCGCCCGCGCCCGCGCTCCCCGCACCGCCAGCGCCCCCTCCCCCGCCACCACACGCGTCACACCATCCGCACCACCACGCCTCCATTACTGACAAGCTGGAAAGCCTCAACGACAAGTACCTCAGCCCCCACGACCACAAGCCCTACGAGCGGCCGCCAGCACCGCCGCATCATGCCCAACCTCCGCATCTCACGAACATTGGTGGCAACGGCATGATGGACAACAAGCTAGGATTCGGCGGGCACTGGTCGCAGTTCCAGCAGCCGGCGGCCGCGGTGCCGCACGGCGTGCCCGAGTGGTGGTGTCCCTCGCAGGAGCCCTACCACCATCACCACTTGATGCACCACTCGGGCGCCGCCGCCGCATACTGACCGCATCGCGCTTAGGAAACTCTTCATTCGACGAATACATAAATTTACTGTAAAAAGTAAATATTACTATGCTAGTAATTTGTCTAATTACATTTCAGATAAGTAACGTTAAAACGGGATAAGAAAACGTGGAATGAATAGTTTACTTAAGCGCCAAAACGCCTTCGCATTACGCTTATTAAAATCATAAAGTTAACGTATAGTCAGAAGCAGAAGTTATTTTTAATATTTGTATGTAATATACGCCAGCCGTCCGTCGCAGCAGGTCTCTGCACAAAGTTAGTGAAGAGTTGATTTGGTAAGCGAAAACATTGTTGCGGACAACAATAGAATTATTATGACACGTTTCTGTGCGTTCAAGTTAAAACAACAGAGTTGTTAACAAAGAGCGCTAGTTGAAAGCTTTACGGCATGTTGTATATTTCCCTTAATCACAGTGTTGTACGCGCTCACTATGCGGGAAGTGTCTTATTATATTGAAGGAGGCGAGGCATGTGTCCGCACAGAGCATTGTCCGCCGGCTAATGTCATTTCTAAGCAACTCGATATGCACCGAGGATTTCGTCAACCGTATTGTTGACAGTGATTTATTGCAGCCTTTCGTAATTTATAAGTCTTTTATGATGTACAAAAACCTTTTCCTTGTCAAATTATTCTATAAAAGTGTACCACTGTCTCTACAGATACTTTTGAATTCTATTTGTAATTTTATATCCTTAACTTGTTTTCCAATTCGAACGTAATGTAAGTACATAGATAAGGTCACGTGTTGACCAGTATGGCCAAAGCACCAAGTCCAATAAAATACTATAGATAGGTTGTATAATTGTACATTTGTAAGTTCGAGGTATTTAGGTAGTGAACTTGTAAAAATATTGTAAGCAAATGCCCAGTGATAATAGTTGTAAGGGATTGATTTTATTAAATAGCTATTTGTGTCGTCGCTGATGATGTTATATGCTATCGATTTCTGTATGACTATTATATATTTGAAAATAACAAATATTTTTTCACGGATCGGCTGTATAGATAGATAATGAAAGTTTGTAAATGCTAACTATATTTTAAAAATGACTGAAAGAAAAGAATGTATTTTAAGTTTAATTTTAGAATTTGTTGATTGTCTTTTTCTAAAGCCATGTAAATAGCAAACAAATTAAATAAAGAAAACATATTTCAAATTGAGTTAATTGTGCAAAATTTTATTTATATCACCACCAACCAAATTCATTTCAACTCAGAGCAAGTTAAAAAAGAAAAGTAATTGGCTTTGCCTGAATAGGCATTTAATTACATGTTGAAATTAAAATAAAACGATGTAAACACGTATAAAGTACGATAAAAGGACAAAAATTGATCAAACAGCAAATAAACATTGCAACTGTAACTTCAACGTTCTGTACCTACTTTAAATGTAATGTAAAATAATTACAATGTAATAATATTGCTCGATGAACTTTAAAGCAATTATAAATCATTAAATTGTATAAAATAATCAATAATTTACGATGATAAATATAACCATCGTTCTGGTGCAGTCGCGGAGTATCTCAGCCGCTGAGATCGATCACTCGAGCTCGCGCTCGCGGCACCAAATCTAAAATGGAAATCCAATTCTCGCGATCATTTTGATCGGAATCCGATCGAAAAACCAAAGTCCGTGACGGTGCCCACAATAAAACACAACAACAAAACGAAGAACAATCATATCCCGAAAGAGAATTGAATTTATCATTGAGAAGAAACGAGAGAATGAAATGATAAATGATGTTTGGGGGTACGGTACAGCGCGGGTGCGAGGGAGACGGCATGCGTCTTCGATCCGACTTTACTGTCCGTGGGGATGATTTATCGTTTCTCAACAGGGATTGGCCGATCCAGTACTTTAAAGATTTATAGATCTTTATGGTTCATGCGCGGTAGGAGCGTTTTCTTATTATAAATCTCACTCCCGCACATGCACTCGCGATTGCCTCTTTAAATGTTCCCCGGTAAAAAATGCATGTTAACATTTAGCGATGGTTAAGAAATAAGCTCAATCCCGGATGAATAGAACAAGGTATAATTGGCCGACTGAGTTAATCATTTTACGTTTCAAGCCCCTCAGATTTTTGTTGTTATTTTTTTTATCGATCTGTATACACGATTTAACGTAACATCTTAATTAAATAAAGTTCAGAAAGTTCAAATTACTAAGCAGACTTGTATTATTATGTTGAAAATAACTAAAACTCACAATAACAAAATTTCCTGTTATACCTAACACCGACGAATTAAAAGATATAACTAATGGTGACTTTATAGTGTAACCAAGTATAATTCAAAAGAACTCGGACTTTTTCGGTAATAATTGAGTTTTGAAATACGAATACAAAAAATGAGCGATGGATCTACAAATAATAACAAAATAATTACAAAAAAAAATATATATATATCTAAATATTTTTATATTAAGATGAAAACTAAATTTGAATGGCAAGAATTATAAAATGTTCCATTTCAAAAGTCGTCGACCGTAAAAATTAAAGATGGCGAACGACCACGATGCTCATTATGGATCCAAATAAGAACCACTTCGTTTAAACACAAATATACACCCACAACAAGAGCAAAATTTTATGCAATAAATAACACGTGAGTCCGGACATAAACGTCCGAAATGAGCTATATTTATGTAGTACAAGTTAACGCGATATCACCGCTCCTTGATGAAGACATAAAAACATGCACAATCATATCATTTGTCTTTGTGACGCTCAACTTAATGGCGTAATATCAAAAGTCATTAACTTTAGCAGTAACAAACCATCTTCATGTACGATCGACAATTTAGTCAAAATTGATTGTAGCATATATTGTGTAATTACTTCTTAATTTTATATTAAACGCTACTTTGGACACAAGTAGAGGGAATATACAAATTGTTATAGTTAGGTTGTATTTATAAATTCCTTCCTATTCTGTTTTTAAAACAAATTGTCTCAATCGGTCGTGACTTTTCATGAACCTACAAAGGAGAAGGAATGAGAGATGATTATTTTAAACACTAGCAGTTTTCGTTGGAGTAACCTCAAAGATTGATTATTAAAAAAAATACAGACGAATTCGAGTGAAGTTAGGAAGTCGGTCAAAAACAGAGTCATTAATGTCCATGTTTTAATATCTTAAAGTATTAAAACAGTGGTAGTGCGTTAAATTATAAAGTAGTCACTATTAGTAAATTACAAGCAAGCAGAAAAGCGAAAAATCCCCTGATAAACCGGCGAAGATCGACGCCCGGCGTCTCTAACCGCTATCCACTGCCTTCTACCCGCTACCCCTGCCCGCTAGCTTTCACCCGGCAGAGATAGCATCTACTGCCTGCCACTGACACCTGGCCCCGCCCTCACAACCCTCGCTTACTCTACCTTTTTTAATACACCAGAAATTCACTGGGCGTATAAGATTTTATATTATTAACATTGATAGTAAAGTTTAATTTATAATTGATTAACGCAAATATTGGTAAGCCAATTTAAAAGCGATTTAACTTGCAATTTCTCGATTAGTTCAGATATGGCTATGGCTTAACGTGAATTTCAATTACGTTAATTAGCGAGTCACAGGTTGTTAATGTAATTGAATAATCATTTTGCTGTGTACAACTTTATCTTACAATTATTTCATTAACTAAGCATGCACCACAGAGTCTCTTCTTGTATCGAAGAATAAAACTCTCTTTGAGTCGCTGCGCCAGTGCAGTAACTATCATTGATTGAAACATGCTAAGGTAAAATGTCATAAAAGTAACAGCGCAGTTTGATATCATTATAGTCAATGATAAAACACATAAACAACCTCATTATCAACGAAAGAAAGCCGAAAGTCGGAGTTACGCAAAAACTACCATGATAAATCCACGGAACTAAAATTGCAAATATATTCAATTGAGGTGCAAAAAAGAATGTATGCTTAAATACAATAGAGTTTGAATTCTAATGCATGCAACCCGGGCGGTCGTTTTTCGAACGGACTCCCTTCTGTAAATCTTTATTTATTAGAATCCGTAAATTATTAAAATCGAGTGTTTTACGTTCGACGTATTTTGATTTGACGTCCTACAAAAACAGCCTGCTTTATCTCGACTGCATATTATTAATAATCCGCCGTAGAATATAATTATCCCTTTCTTATAAATAAAACAATTCAATTTGGTCGTTATTAAGTAAACTTTTACAATCACTAATGACTCCCTTTTGGTATATTTCAAGGTTCTTATAATTAATTTAGGAATTGTTTTACATTGATAATATCACCTTCTCTGATTCTATCAAGATTAAAAAATATCGTTGACATCTTGGAATTGCTAAAAAGAAATATCACAAATCATCGTATGAATACTTCTCGAGTCAAACTCAAAATAACCATTTTATTTCATAAGGGGTGTGTAAAGCAGAACTAGTCTACCGCCTAGTTTACATAATTCCAGTTCAGGCAACGATTCCAGCGCTGGATTACAATTAATAAAGTTACCAGTTGTAAAACAGAGGCGGATTTTATCGATATACTGGAATATTGTAAATTAGCTACCGGCCTAAAGACATAAGCTTGAAATATATGGAATTACCTTGATAAGTTGTATATAGTAAAATTTATTTAAATAAACTTCATAGTAGGTGGAAATATAATGATAAAATATTGGTGAAATGGTGGCCACATTGTTATCGTGACAAGTTACATGACGGCTACCTGTCGCCAGTTACCACAGATAATATACATATATGATAGCTTCGCCCGCACTTGTATACACGGAAAACTACTAAACGAATACGTGCAAGTTTTACTAATTACATACAGGAAATGTACTAAACGCATTAAATACTGTAACGGTTAACGAATTTGTTACACTTAACACATTTGTAACCTATTTCTAAAAATTTTAACTATTTGTAGGAAATTAATTGTGCGGAACGTTTTGACTAATGTAAACTTTTTGCTGCAAGATAAGATTAAAGACCCAAATGGTTCATTGATCGTGTTTATCTGTGACATTTATAATCAGTACGAATGTAAGTGGTATCGTACAAGATAAAATTATCAGGCGCTAACCATGAAATCGTCATTCTCCTGATCAACTACATTCAGGGTCGCTGTGTATGTTGTTGCGTAACGATAGGCGTGAATAAATGCACGTAATCCCGAAATTTTCATTCTTTTCATATAACAGATTTTTAGTAAATAGTTTTTGTAACAAATAAATTATTAATTAATTGTGTATTTTGCAAAATACTTATGTCGTTTGAATTTAAAATGTATATGAATTAACAAGTTTAGATCGTTTTTAAAGAGAAGGAAGTGTAATTTGCTTATGCCTTTGTAAATAATTACAAATTGTGAACTTAAAAAAGCGTATCAGCATGTATTGTAAGATAACCAAAAGACAAACGTCTTCGGATTTATTTCTTTGTATCTCACAATGTTTTCCCCCTTTTTATAAAACGAAGGGATATAATTCACACAAATCTTTATTTTTGTTTGCGCTCGCGGAACAGAGGGTGTTTTCCCCGCGCATGATGATGAGTTATGACCGCGGGGCAAGGAGTGCGGGGCGCGGGGGCAGTAGGCACAGCGGAAGTCGCCCCTCCACGCCCCCGCCTGCCTCACTTCCGATATCAATCGGCAACCTAAGCCCACGCTATATTTCATAATTTATTGACCAATTTATCGGGGAACTACAATTTCATCTATAAAGTAAAGAAAAAAAATCACCTATTTTTACCGTTAAGAAAGGAGCTAAGGAAACAGTTATTTCGATGCCCTTAGTACCTAAAATAGTTATCTCGATTGCGTGCTTTCACATTAAGCGCAACGAGTTGGTATTGATTACGTTCGTAAAATAATGTAACTTTTATGTAGTTATACTTTCACATCTATTTGAATAATAGTAGAGAATAATCAATTTAATTTATAAGTTAGCTATAAGAACCGTAATGTTAAATATAATCATAAAATAATTTACTAATAGATCGTAAATCATAATTCAATTCAAATAACTAACCTAAAACGATTTATAAACAGGAATTCTAATTTATACAAACGCTATGACCAGTAACTATCACTCAAATGTTGTTTATTGGTATTTTTGATACTTTGCCTTACCGCTACTAAATATAAATAAAT